AGGGAGGATAGGGAGACAAGGAGGTAGGGATAACATTAAGGGGGGAGAGGGAGACAAGGAGGTAGGGATAACATTAAGGGAGGATAGGGAGACAAGGAGGTAGGGATAACATTAAGGGAGGATAGGGAGACAAGGATAACATTAAGGGAGGATAGGAAGAGCGTCATCAAGGCTACCTTGGTATGTGAACGTGTTAGTGTGAGTCGCTCGTGGATTCTAATACCTTTATGGATCTCCTCTAAGCTTCCTCTGCAAGGAGACACAAAATAAACCTTTACATCACTACAACACACACTGAATAAGACACATGTGCTACAGTTACATATCTTTATTCTGAAACGTTTCTCTTATACAGTAGGATTCTTCAGTCGAGTACAGGGAAGTTTGCAGAAGCAGTGAGGACGATGTAGTCAGTCCCTCAGTCTTAAAGACGTAGTTTTGAGGTGGTCAGTCCCTCAAAACTACGTCTTCAAGGGCTGAGGGACTGACTACATCGTCTTCACTGCTTCTGCAGTGAAGAAGCCTACTGTGTAGGCGGTACGTTACGGAATAAAGATATATAACTGTCACACATCTATCTCACTTATCAACATGTCGGTATTATATACCGTTCTTATATTCATTCAATATTCTTCTTACAAGTAAAAACAAAGTTCATTTGTGGGAACTTTGTACAAAGTTCACTTTCCTATGACATAAATAATATCAAAGTCACTGAAATAATCTTTTTCAAGTTACTGTGAATTTAAGTTTTTTTTTTTTGAAGTTACAAAATTAGGATTTAAGTTACTGAACTTAATTTTTTTTTTTCAAAGTACTGAATTTAAGATTTTTGAAAAATCAATGAATATTATTTTTTTAAAAGACTTCCTGAATTTAAGAACAAATTTTAAATTTAATGAAATTTTACTTTTACTGATGTTACTAAATTAATAAAAAAAAAGCATTTTTAAACTTAATGATTAAAGTTAGCTAATTCAGCCTTTTATCAAAGCTTCTGAACTTAAAACCACTTAAGTTCAATATTTTTAATTCTGAACGTAACTTTACGAGTCTGATTTTCACTATACAAAAAAAAATATAATAACTTTTCATAAACAAAAGAAGGAAGCGAAATATCAGCTGACGTATAATGCACAAAATATTATAGAGAGTGATAATTAGAACATATAATTTAGTGATGTGTATCACTGATGATAGAGGCTGACACTCGTTACCAGTGACGTCTATAACCGAGTTGATATTTTGATAATTATACCTATGGTTTCTGGCAGTTATAATACCTGGGGCTCATGGTAGTTATACCTATGGTTTAGGGTAATTATACCTATAGTTTATGATACTTATACCTATGATTTATGGTTAGTTATAATATCTATGGCTTATGGTAATTATACCTTAGGCTGATGGTAGTTATACCTATGGCTTAAGGTTATTATACCTATGGCTTAGGGTAGTTATACCTAAATTTAACATTAATCCTGCATATAGTGTTGTCATCCAGAAAGGGGATACCTCTGGCGTCAAATCTCCCTAACAAGGGTTGTGGGAAGAGGGGGATACCTAGAGCTTGAGAATGCCTCTTCGGATCGGCCTCAAATTTTCAACATGTGATGTACCCACTTTTTTTTCTTGCATTTCGTATTGGCTTGACCATTCGTCCGCCTAGCGCGAGATGGACACCTGGACATCTCGGCAGAAGTAAATTAGTGTGTCTGGTATCTAGCCATGCCCCAGGCTGCCATGCTTCAGGGTGCCATGTGCCAGGGTGTCATGCTTCAGGGTGCCATGCCCAATGGTACTAATCTCCAAGGTGTCATACCTCAGGATATTTTGTCCCAGGGTGCCATGCCTCAGGGTATCTTGTCCCAGGGTGCCATGCCTAAGGGTATCTTGTCCCAGGGTGCCATGCCCAAGGGTATCTTGTCCCAGGGTGCCATGCCTAAGGGTATCTTGTCCCAGGGTGCCATGCCCAAGGGTATCTTGTCCCAGGGTGCCATGCCCAAGGGTATCTTGTCCCAGGGTGCCATGCCCAAGGGTATCTTGTCCCAGGGTGCCATGCCCAAGGGTATCTTGTCCCAGGGTGCCATGCCTAAGGGTATCTTGTACCAGGGTGCCATGCCCAAGGGTATCTTGTAGGGAGCCTTGAGTTTTTTACATTCAAGGCACCCGAGCCATATAGTTTTTTAAACGTTCAAAACGTGTAACTAACCCCTAAGTCATTTTCTGAGTGAGTGAGGCGTGTCAGGCTCAGGGACAATAATTGTACTTATTTTATTTCTAACGTAAATAACGAAAACAGTTACTGAAATTATATAAATACGACAGGAGTCACCAAAATGCTTTCAGTCGGAAGGTTCCTTGACGATGACGGGTTCATGAGTGGGCAGAAATACCTCTACCTGACCAGCCAGGCTGTGGTTTACGTGCGTCTCGCAGTAACAGGCTGGGTGATAAGGTCCTGATCCACCACGAGGCTTGGTCATGGACCAGGCAGCGGGGGCGATGACCCCCGAAACACCCTACAGGTATATCCCGGGTATAACACACAAGGTGTGAAGGGAGTGAGAGAAAACAGGGCTACACTCACCCTGCAGTGTGTATATCTCAGAGTATAATAACAATAAAATTTACATCTGCAAGTACATGTACAAGGTGTACAAGTCTAGCTGACGTCAATGACATACTATTACATAGAAAGTCCCTTGTTATGCTGAGCATTTCGGGGAAATTAGGTCAATTTTATCATGATTATGCAACCCACAAGAATCAACTAACACCCAGGTACCTATTTTACTGACAGGTGAACATGGACACCTATCTAACGGAAACACGTTCTGTTTCCACCCGTACTGGGAATCGAACCTCAGTGTGTGAGTTGAGTATATTTTAATCCCTAATTTTTCAGGGACCGAAACATTGATGACTGGTGATGATCAGGTTACGGGCAGTCTTAATGACCATCGTGTAGTCGGCAGGGTTCAAACCTCATTAACCAATTAGAGAGAGTGTGTTGTGACGTGTTGAGAGATGCTCACCAACACAAGCAATTATCATGAGTGATATTTATCATTGGGAACCTCGCTTGGGAACCTTCTAGTCTGGAAGCCTTCTAGCCTGGAAGGCTTCTAGTCTGGAAGCCTTCTAGCCTGGAAGCCTTCTAGCCTCGGAGCCTTCTAGCCTGGAAGCCTTCTAGCCTCGGAGCCTTCTAGCCTGCAAGCCTTCTAGCCTCGAAGCCTTCTAGCCTGGAAGCCTTCTAGCCTCGGAGCCTTCTAGCCTGCAAGCCTTCTAGCCTGGAAACCTTCTAGCCTGGAAACCTTCTAGCCTGGAAGCCTTCTAGCCTGGAAACCTTCTAGCCTGGAAACCTTCTAGCCTGGAAGCCTTCTAGCCTGGAAACCTTCTAGCCTGCAAGTCTTCTAGCCTGGAAACTTTCTAGCCTGGAAGCCTTCTAACCTAGAAGCCTTCTAGCCTGGAAGCTTCTAGCCTGGAAACCTTCTAGCCTGGAAGCCTTCTAGCCTGGAAGCCTTCTAGCCTGGAAGCCTACTAGTCTGGAAGCCTTCTAGCCTGGAAACTTTCTAGCCTGGAAGCCTTCTAACCTAGAAGCCTTCTAGCCTGGAAGCGTCTAGCCTGGAAGCCTTCTAGCCTGGAAGCCTTCTAGCCAGGAAGCTTTCTAGCCTGGAAGCCTTCTAGCCTGGAAGCATTCTAGCCTGGAAGCTTTCTAGCCTGGAAGACTTCTAGCCTGGAAGCCTTCTCGCCTAGAAGCCTTCTAGCCTGGAAGCCTTCTAGCCTGGAAGCCTTCTAGCCTGGAAGCCTTCTAGCCTGGAAGCCTTCTCGCCTGGAAGCCTTCTCGCCTGGAAGCCTTCTAGCCTGGAAGCCTTCTAGCCTGGAAGCTTTCTAGCCTGGAAGCCTTCTCGCCTGGAAGCCCTCTAGCCTGGAAGCCTTCTAGCCTGGAAGCCTTCTAGCCTGGAAGCCTTCTAGCCTGGAAACCTTCTAGCCTGGAAGCCTTCTAGCCTGGAAGCCTTCTCGCCTGGAAGCCTTCTAACCTCGAAGCCTTCTAGCCTGCAAGCCTTCTAGCCTGGAAACCTTCTAGCCTGGAAGCCTTCTAGGCTGGAAACCTTCTAGCCTGGAAACCTTCTAGCCTGGAAGCCTTCTAGCCTGGAAACCTTCTAGCCTGCAAGTCTTCTAGCCTGGAAACTTTCTAGCCTGGAAGCCTTCTAACCTAGAAGCCTTCTAGCCTGGAAGCTTCTAGCCTGGAAACCTTCTAGCCTGGAAGCCTTCTAGCCTGGAAGCCTTCAAGCCTGGAAGCCTTCTAGTCTGGAAGCCTTCTAGCCTGGAAACTTTCTAGCCTGGAAGCCTTCTAACCTAGAAGCCTTCTAGCCTGGAAGCGTCTAGCCTGGAAGCCTTCTAGCCTGGAAGCCTTCTAGCCAGGAAGCCTTCTAGCCTGGAAGCCTTCTAGCCTGGAAGCCTTCTAGCTTGGAAGCATTCTAGCCTGGAAGCTTTCTAGCCTGGAAGCCTTCTAGCCTGGAAGCCTTCTCGCCTAGAAGCCTTCTAGCCTGGAAGCCTTCTAGCCTGGAAGCCTTCTAGCCTGGAAGCCTTCTAGCCTGGAAGCCTTCTAGCCTGGAAGCCTTCTCGCCTGGAAGCCTTCTAGCCTGGAAGCCTTCTAGCCTGGAAGCTTTGTAGCCTGGAAGCCTTCTCGCCTGGAAGCCTTCTAGCCTGGAAGCCTTCTAGCCTGGAAGCCTTCTAGCCTGGAAGCCTCCTAGCCTGGAAGCCTTCTAGCCTGGAAGCCTTCTCGCCTGGAAGCCTTCTCGCCTGGAAGCCTTCTAGCCTGGAAGCCTTCTAGTCTGGAAGCCTTCTAGCCTCGAAGCCTTCTAGCCTGGAAGTCTTCTAGCCTGGAAACTTTCTAGCCTGGAAGCCTTCTAACCTAGAAGCCTTCTAGCCTGGAAGCCTTCTAGCCAGGAAGCCTTCTAGCCTGGAAGCTTTCTAGCCTGGAAGCCTTCTAGCCTGGAAGCATTCTAGCCTGGAAGCTTTCTAGCCTGGAAGCCTTCTAGCATAGAAGCCTTCTCGCCTAGAAGCCTTCTAGCCTGGAAGCCTTCTAGCCTGGAAGCCTTCTAGCCTGGAAGCATTCTAGCCTGGAAGCCTTCTAGCCTGGAAGCCTTCTAGCCTGGAAGCCTTCTAGCCTGGAAGCTTTCTAGCCTGGAAGCCTTCTAGCCTGGAAGCATTCTAGCCTGGAAGCTTTCTAGCCTGGAAGCCTTCTAGCATAGAAGCCTTCTCGCCTAGAAGCCTTCTAGCCTGGAAGCCTTCTAGCCTGGAAGCCTTCTAGCCTGGAAGCATTCTAGCCTGGAAGCCTTCTAGCCTGGAAGCCTTCTAGCCTGGAAGCCTTCTAGCCTGGAAGCTTTCTAGCCTGGAAGTCTTCTCGCCTGGAAGCCTTCTAGCCTGGAAGCCTTCTAGCCTGGAAGCCTTCTAGCCTGGAAACCTTCTAGCCTGGAAGCCTCCTAGCCTGGAAGCCTTCTAGCCTGGAAGCCTTCTAGCCTGGAAGCCTTCTAGCCTGCAAGCCTTCTAGCCTGGAAGCCTTCTAGCCTGGAAGCCTTCTAGCCTGGAAGCCTTCTAGCCTGGAAGCCTTCTAGCCTGGAAGCCTTCTCGCCTGGAAGCCTCCTAGCCTGGAAGCCTTCTAGCCTGGAAGCCTTCTAGCCTGGAAGCCTTCTCGCCTGGAAGCCTTCTAGCCTGGAAGCCTTCTCGCCTGGAAGCCTTCTAGCCTGGAAGCCTTCTAGCCTGGAAGCCTTCTAGCCTGGGAGCCTTCTAGCCTGGAAGCCTTCTAGCCTGGAAGCCTTCTAGCCTGGAAGCCTTCTCGCCTGGAAGCCTTCTAGCCTGGAAGCCTTCTAGCCAGGAAGCCTTCTAGCCAGGAAGCCTTCTAGCCAGGAAGCCTTCTAGCCAGGAAGCCTTCTAGCCAGGAAGCCTTCTCGCCAGGAAGCATTCTAGCCAGGAAGCCTTCTAGCCAGGAAGCCTTCTAGCCTGGAAGCCTTCTCGCCTGGAAGCCTTCTAGCCTGGAAGCCTTCTAGCCAGGAAGCCTTCTAGCCTGGAAGCCTTCTCGCCTGGAAGCCTTCTAGCCTGGAAGCCTTCTAGCCTGGAAGCCTTCTAGCCTGGAAGCCTTCTAGCCTGGAAGCCTTCTAGCCTGGAAGCCTTCTAGCCTGGAAGCCTTCTAGCCTGGAAGCTTTCTAGCCTGGAAGCCTTCTAGCCTGGAAGCCGTCTAGCCTGGAAGCCTTCTAGCCTGGAAGCCTTCTAGCCTGGAAGCCTTCTAGCCTGGAAGCCTTCTAGCCTGGAAGCCTTCTCGCCAGCCACTGATACAAATTTTGATATTAAGGTTACGAGTGTTTGCTTTTAAAATTATTAACCTGTCGCACTAAGTTTTATTACTGACCTGTCGCACTAAGTTTTATTACTGACCTGTCGCACTAAGTTTTATTATTGACCTATTTCACTAAGTTTTATTACTGACCTGTCGCACTAAGTTTTATTATTAACCTATTTCACTAAGTTTTATTATTGACCTGTCGCACTAAGTTTTATTACTGACCTGTCGCACTAAGTTTTTACCTTCGTTACAATGTTAAAACGTTTGAAGGGAACTAAATCTTTACATTATCAACATCCTTTATTATCACTAAGAAATTAATGAAGGTGTTATACCACACTCAGTATACAAGTGTGTGTGTGTGTGTGTGTATCACACATTCCATCAATATCTCTCTCTCTCTCTCTCCCTCCCTGTCTCTCTCAACATTTATCCTCGAGAAAGCTGCAGTTTCTAACAGCCTGTCTCACTCTAAATGTTGTCGTTTTAGATGGTCCTCTAGAGAGACACCAGCCCCGTTACTCTAGTTAGAGATTCATGAGTGAGGAAGGGGAGTGAGGGAAGGAGGGAGAGAGTAGATGAGATAGAGGGAGATAGATAGATAGATAGATAGATAGATAGAGAGAGAGAGAGAGAGAGAGAGAGAGAGAGAGAGAGAGAGAGAGAGAGAGAGAGAGAGAGAGAGAGAGAGAGAGAGAAGAGAGAGAGAGAGCAGACGGAAGATGGAAACCCACCTGGTCTTGTGACACTACAGAGCTTCGGTTACTCCTCACGCCGAGGTCCATGCCGAAGGGGTTGAGCTGGTGCGCCCCAGGGATGGTCCTCGGGGCTTCTTGTGGCTGCCTACTACTGTAGTAGTCGCAGTCGCGGGGAGAGCCACCTCCTCCTTCTGCAGACGAGTCGCTGTAGGAAGGTAAAAATCAGGATGTTGAAAATGGTATGAAATACATACCGAACAGTTGATGATTTAGACACATGTGCAACGGTCGGGAATTTATATTGTTGAAACAGAGGCAGCAGGTGTTAGTGGTAGTGAAACGAAGTCCATCAACATTTTCCAAGGCTGATGAACTGATTACATTATCTTTGTTTCACTGCTGCATCGCTGCTTCTGTATTTGACTGAAGAAGTTTATAGTGTAGGTGATGCCC